AATCCCAGCCAGGGCCGTTAACCTGTTTAGTAGAACGTTGTGGTCTACAGTGTCAAAAGCTGCACTGAGGTCAAACAGGACCATGACAGAGCATTTCCCTGCATCAGCAGCCATCAGAAGGTCATTATGCACCCTTACTAGAGCAGTCTCAGTTGAGTGCTGCTTCAGAAAGCCAGATTGGAAGGGGTCAGAGATCTTTGACTTAGAAAACCAGGATCTGAGTTGGGTTTCAACAACCTTCTCAAGTACTTTGCTGATGAATCTGGTGTGAGGAAGAAAATCAGACCCTGAAAGTTTAAAGGAGGAACTGGGAAAACTTTATCCAACAGGAACAAAGAGGTCCTCCTCAGTGATTTATCCACAAAACCCGTCTCTAAAAACACGCCCAATACCAAACTCAGGGCAGGAGGGAGGTGGTGGTCGGAGGGACTGGTGGCACCTGTGCTCGGCAGCCTCGCCTCTGTCAGTGTGCCCCAGGACAGCTGTGGTTACATTGTAGCTCATCAGCATCAGTGTGTGAATGTGTGTGAATGGATGAATAGGAATAGAACAGGGGCTAGTATCGAGCCTTGTGGAAGGTCCGCTGACATACAGAGGGGCTCAGACTGCTCATCATGAATACGGACAGATGGTGAACGGTTAGACAGATATGATTTTATCCATTTTATTGCCCAATCTAGTAGATTGAAAGATCGTAATTTAGCCAGTAAGATCTGATGTTTTACTGTATCAAATGCTTTTCTAAGATCATCGAAGCTTGCCTCAGCTACATTATTTTTATCAAGTAATGATTTGATTTTGTCACTAAAGAAGCAGTTGGCAGACGGTTGAGTGGTTCGGTCGAAATCCAAATTAGATATAGATTGGATAATAGAGCCAACCTTTGAGCATGTTGTAGCTTTCACAAATGACCTTTCCTTACTGGAGCTAACACGGTTAGCCGTGCTACTCTCCTCCTCATAGTTTTCATGATGTAACGTAGTGTTGCTCCGTTAGTTAGAAATGCTGACAATTTACTGCAGCTGTAAACCCAAGTATCTGTAACCATTAAGACAATGAAGTTAAACAAAACACAGCTAACCATGGAATAGCACAAACGCTACGGAGTAAAAGTTCGGCAGACGCATTTGTTTATATTTGGCCGCTGGGTGGGGGGAGGGGGGTGCTGCACACAGACAGCTGGTGTGATCAGCTCTGAAAAGTGTTGATCACAATTTGCAGATCACGTTTATTTTTTACGGAGATCGGCCGCGGATTCCTCTTCCGGTCGGCATTCTAGGAATCGAAACTAGGAATCGAAATAAAAACTTTGAACGATTCCGGGAAAAACTAACGGTTGATCCCAGTTCCAATCGATGCTCGATGCCCAACCCTATGAACGAACCACCGGTTCAGATAGGTGAATCTCTCCATCCCTAGTGAGGACAAGGCTTCACGCCCACTCAACGCGCAGTCCTGCTCTGGTCTTTCCTTTAACTGCTGGATCATTTGTTTGGTCTCCGCTCTGTGTGCATCAGCTGAGAGCTTCTGGGGGAGTCAATCACCCTTATGGGGGAGACCCCCCCCCATAATTTTAACACTAAACAGCCCTCAAAAATGTGATAATCTGAACATGAAGATGTATCACTGCATCAGCAGCCTGTTGGAGAGACAACACTCATGACTCTAGAAATGCACTAGGCACCACACCGAATCACTCAGAGGGCCACAAAATGGCTCCGGGTCCACACGTTGGTCACTCCTCCTTTAAGGATTTTCTCTACGCTGCATCAGAGCTGTTGACCTTGGAAGAGGTTCCCAGTTCAGAGAACCTTAAACCAGAACATTTTACGCATCAAGTGGCTTAAATCATCACCATGATCAGAGAAAATTATGCTGATGAGGTCTGGATCCATCTGAGCAGCTAAATAAATGATGCTTTAGAGTTTTCAGACACAATAAAAATCTTGAAGATGTTTTTTGTTGCATCATGCTGTTAAACAACCTGAGACACAAATCCAGAACAGCCAGACGGAGCTTCAGGAGGTGGAAGTGCAAACCACAGCAAACTGAAGCTCTGTGTCACTGGTTCCGGTTAACAGTAAGCTGAGACCCTCCACACACACACACACACACACACACACACACACACACACACACACACACACACACACACACACACAAACCGGGTCGTGCTATCGGGTCAGCTCTTGTGATGTGCAGATGTAAACTAAAAGCTTCTATTGAACGACTCATCTGCTGCGGTGAATGAGGATCCCTGGAGACGAGGAGGCAGAAGGGCGAAGAAGAGGAGGCGCAGCACTGAAACAGCTGATTAGTCTTACAAATTTAGTAAAAAAAATTAATGAAACTGGTCCTACGGTTCTGACACCTGACACACACACACACACACACACAAACACACACACGTGTCGATATGAAACCAGACCGAAGCTCTGCTGGATTCATTTATGTGGTGAAACAGAAACTCTGACCTGCATCTGGGATTAAAGAGGCAGCTGGCAGTGACACGTTAGACCAGATCGGCCTGCCGTCCACTCCTCAGAGGGGTGACCTGCACCCCCCCCCCCCCCCAAGCTCCCCACAAATGTAACATCAGACCCAACAACCATCGTCACACCAAGTACTGGTTTGGTCGGGAGACTCGTATCGACCCGAGCAGGAAATCTGGAAGGCTGGAGACGTTTTAGGGTAGAAACTGCCTGTGAGCGGTCTTGCAGCCTCATTAAGATAAACCAGGAGGTGTGTGTAGGTGTTTTTGCCAATCACAAAAACAAAATAACATGCTGGAGAATGATGCTCATGCTATAATCAAGTTCATCAGGCTAATACTAACTTCATTATACCTGAGCCAGCACACATGGCCCAAAGAAATGTGTTGTAGAGAAGTTTGAAAAGATTTGCATCAATATGAGTTTCGTTTATTGTTCCATTCTCTACTGGAAACCAACGGGAACATGTTGGTTTTATTAGTTTTGAGATCAGAGAAAAAAAACACAGAAGTCCTTGTTCTTCATTATTCCAGTTATGGCCCAAATTAGATTTTAATGTTTCATGGATGCTGCAGTTACCACCAGAATGTGTGTCCCTGCATCGGCATGCAGGTCCAGTCGACCGCACCTCCATTCCAGTTAAGCAGATGCAGAACTGTGTTAAGTGAAAAACGAGAGACGACCTTATCCTGAGTTTGTGGGTGATCGTTTACTGTTCTCCAGCGAGTCACACACCATTCTATAACCAACCGATTCCCTAACGAGAGGTAATCCAAACCAGGTTCTCTAAAAGTGTTGTATAAAAACGCTGCTGCTCAGCGCCATAAACGTCTGTCTGCTGGAGTCCATCAGCCCGACGCCTGGCCACCTGAGGCCAGCACATAAAATAACAAAATCACGTTCGCTCCTATCAAAGGCGTTGAACTGAAAAAAGAAATGAACAAATGAATGATGAGCAGATTTACATGAACCACAACCCTGGTTTAAATGTTTACATGAAACTCCTCTAATGTTGTTTTACCCTGCTCAGGTTCTCTCTCCTGAGTTTGTTTTGATGCAAACATCAAGTCTCTGTAGAAAATGCCAGAAAGTCTGATGCTGATGTTGCTGTTGTCTGTTGTTAGGTGACCAAAGCCTGCTGGTTGGGCAGCGCACCAGGGTAAAGACCAAAGGTCTGCTGTGGCCCCCAGACTCTGGAACTCTCCCCCCCTGAGCCTGAGACCAGTGGACTCAGAGGTCTCCTTTAAAAAGCAGCTGAAACTCACCTGTTCAAGCTGGTTTTTGTGGGACCTTTATCACCCTCTCCTGGTTCTGCTCATTCTACCAGCTCCACCTTTCACGAGATCCACTGAGCTCCTTCTTTATTTATTTATTTTTTTCTCATTTTAACCATATTTAATTTTTTTTAAACATTTTTAAAATTGAGATGTTTTGTTCTTGTGAAGCACCTCGTGAATTTTAACTTGAGAGGCTATATAAAGATCTTTTTCTTTCTTTTTACATTTTAATCTGATCAGAACATTTTACTTTGGTAAAAGAAGAATGGTTGTGGTAATGTGGTCTATAATGCTTCTGTCCTGTGAGAAGCTGCAGTGGGAGGTACAGCTCTATATGTTCTACTTCTATGTGCAGTCACATGATCAGCCAACACCAGTGACCTACTTCCACTGGAAACCATGTCTCCCATCACTCAGTCCAATCGTGTTCCTGCAAATGTTTTCCTTCACAAATATTTTTAGGTAAATGTTTCATTCAAGAAAAGTGAAAGTTTCGTGTTGCTTAAGACTTCTTTATGTATCTGACAGGAACTGTTTATAAAAAGCATGAACTTATTTAATCATTATAATAATTTACACTTCATCTCACATTAACACATTTTTCTCCTAAATGTGTGAATTTAGCATCTTTGTTGTTGTTAAATAAAGCTCATTTGTGTTTTGGGAAAATGCCAACATGAAGATTCATCTCCACCTAAAGAGTTATAAACAAACCCCGATTCTATTTATTAATTATAAAAGTAGTTTTATAAAGGTGGGATGGTCTGATCAGACATCACTGACGTCTTCAGGAGAACGAGTGGTATCGAGTGCAAAGCAGATGTGGTTGTTTAAAGAAGAACACACACACATAGTCGCAGTGTGTGTGTGTGCGTACTAAAGGCCCCCATGGGATGGAAAGCTTCACCAGCTGTGTTCTGACACACAAGAACACTCTGGGCCTGGGGACAACACACACACACACACACAGAGTGAGAGTGAGAGTGAGAGAGAGAGAGAGAGAGAGAGAGAGAGAGAGAGAGAGAGAGAGAGAGAGAGAGAGAGAGAGAGATGTGTGTGCACTGAACCATCTCTGGATGACAAACAAACTAATGGATATGCAAACAAACACGGCAGCAGCGCTAAACATGATGGTCTGATGTTCCTGATCCAGAGTCCATGTGAGCAAAATGTCACCAATAAACAGACTAAACACACACACACGCATGCACACGTGCATGCACACACACACACACACACACACACACACACACACAGGTTCAGTATAAGGAGGAGAATCAGAGGAGCAGTGAGCAGGAGGAGGAGGAGCTCATTCCACTGTGGAACAGACACTTGACCTGGTTTCTGGGACAAAAACAGCCTGAGAAACACTCCTACTGGGAAGGAATCAGATAAAAGATTTAAAACGGGAGGCCAAGAAGAACCACACTGCAGACGGGCGCTAAGAGAAGGTCTACCTGGAGAGGTGAAAAGGAACTTTTTGGGGGTGAAGAATAAACTTCTGCGTTTTTGCATCTCAAATAAAAAGAACAAAAAAGGTAAAATAACACAACTGTAAAGACATGAGAGTTCCACCCGTCCACACTGTCCTCTGTTCTACTTTACATCTCAAGAGCAGAAACACTTCCATACTTGGCTAGCTGCCATGTAGTAGATTTAAAATATAACATTCAAGGGGTGGTTATGGTCAAATTCAGGGTCTGCATCCCTCCCAGGCTGCATTTTGATGCAATCTGCTGGGTTCCATAGGAAACTTTTTACTGATTGGCTTAATGAATTGACCTGTATTGGGATGTCTACTATGTAAAGTGCCTTGAGACGACTCTTGTCGTGATTTGGCGCTATATAAATAAACTTGAATTAAATAGAATTGAATTTTAAGGTTGATTACTTCACAGTGAAGCAACACGGCTGTCCACATAATTTCCTTGCATTTGAAGGATGGGACTGGTGTTTCTGTACTGGCCCACCACATCTCAGCATTTACTTTTCTTCTCATGATGACAGACAAAGGGGGAGAGGACAGTCCACAAATTAAATGGTTGTGCTGTTAGGTTTCTGTCGTTGACCTGAAACACATTTAAATATACATTAAAGTCGGAGCAGGAAAAGGTCTGACGACCAGACTGTCCAAATTCAAATCTGCTCACTTCTGTTCCAGGTGACGAAAGACCCAGCCCACGTGGTCCCAGTAGGACGTGTTGTTACAACTGGAGTATTGGTTCAACTGCAGATACCACATCACACCAGCAGGTGGTAGTGTTGTATCATTTTGTGGGATTTAAACTAATGTTTTTAAATTGAAAGCCAAAAAAATTCAATTATTCAAATAACTTATTTCCTGTATTTTTTAATGGGATGAATGCCAGAACAATGTCAGACAGCGATGACGGCACAAAATGGCTTGCAGTTGATAGACGGAAGCATCCGAAATCTAAATGTGCAACACTTCTAAAAGGTCTTTACCTGGCCAGGCCGTGTGGGGCATATGATGTAACGGCAGTATGGGAGTTGTCTTAGTTATGTATCACTTAAAGCCCGCTTTTGAAAATATTAACCTACCAGTTCACAAGGAAGCAAGTAAATTCTGCCGGGCCGCTTGAGGAGCGAGGTAGCCACCAGCAATTCACACACGGAGGTCTGGTGTGAGCCGGGGAGCAGCGGTGAAGAAGATGAAGAACCTTTCTACATAGCGACTCTCAAGATAAAAAATCATGGGGTTCTACATGAGAACTATAACTTAAAAATAAAAAAATGGTTTAAAAAATAGGAAACTAAGGAAAGTAAAAGTTGAGTAATACTTCATAATAATGTTCAGTTGTTAAATATAAGTCATTAGTAAGTCATTAATCATACAAGGTCTTAGATAATGATGAACAAATCATTTATAAAATAGTGTGATGACATTTACAAATACATTTATAAGTGTTTAGTTATTAACAGATCATTTACAAGGTATTAGGTAATATATATAATTTATTTATGAAGACTTGAGTTGACATTTACAAATGATAAACTAAACATTTACATACAGTCTTTAACACATTTGGTAATGTTCATAGAACACTTGTAACTTTCTAAAGTCACAGAAGTGCCATTAGTCATATAAAAGATTAAGACGCACCAGTCATTTATAAATGATTAACTAAACATTTTTAAATGATCATGAACTCATTTGATTTTTAAAATGTAATTTGGTGAAAGGTAAATAAAGTCCAGACATTTATAAACTCTTTCAGGTTATTTACTTATTTTTTACTTTCTTTGAATACAAGAGGGACTCTACAACTCGTTTATAAACCATTAGTTTGTCAAAGAAAGTGAATGTATGAAGGTTTGGACCCTTTGTGGGAAATCCCTGATCTGAGCCCTTCAGCCATAGAAGATCTACCAGGAAACATCTGACAGATGAACAGGCCCGTTCCATCCTGTGTCAGATTTCTATCTGATGATCAGACACCAGAACTGATCAGCATCTACAAGCTCTTCACTGTAAACCTCCTGATTCTCACCTGTCCCAGATCACGTCATTGTTAAATGTTCTGCAACACCTCGTTACTTAGAAATGTTTAACAATCATTTTTAGGCTTAAAAACATGAATAAATGACATTTGTACATCTACAAGTAATCTATTACACTTTCTGCTTCCCCTAATGTAACGTGTGAACAACTCATTACGTGTAAATGTTTTAGGAATCATTTGTAGCTCCACAGAAAGAATTACCAAGAATCTTTAGGTGTAACGTATAACCTTAGGGCAACGGTAATCCTTTGATAAATCGAGTATCCAGACAAGACTTTCCTTTTCTTGGAAAATATGGTGAAATTGTAACAGAGCAGTACACTGTTAAATCTGATTAGTTCAGCTTACTGAGAAAAGCATGCAAATCGATACTTAAAATAATAAGTACATGGGACTAGGTAATTTTGTGTTGGAGTTAAGTTACTCCAAGTCAAAGTAGTAAAAAGTACTTGAACATTTGTTTACTGAACTAGTTCTTCTGAGTAATATATACTTCAGCTTTAGTAAACTGCAAGCAAAATTTTCAGTACACCATTCTACTTTGTCTTAGTAATAGTTACTTGCATTTAAGTATGTTTTACTTTTTATACAGGAGAAGCTTCAGAACATAATTACCTAGTACTATGTACTTGATTTTTACTTTTTATTTTAAGTGTAATCGGTTTTCATGTTTTTTCAAGCAAGTACGACTACCAGAAATTAGTACTTGGAAAAAAAGTTGCTTCAGCCGAGTAAGCTGTGCAACAGCGACACTGGAGAACACCAGTTGACTCAAGCCTTGTGCACCTTGTGACTGGACAGCCAATGAGAGATGAACACAAGGAGCAGAGTCCTGTGAGCCATGCGCCACTTTTCTATTGTGACAGTTGAACGGTCCTCTTCCTGTGACCAGCCTCCTCACTTACGATACCAACATGACACAAGTAAAACCTCATTTGCAACAGTGAACAAAGTAATGACTATAACAACACAAGCCCCCCAAAATAAACATGCAAAAACAACCCAAAAATAGAACAAACTAACTAAAAACGTGACTTAAAACTTGTATGAGGTTGTTAAATAAGCTAACAAACAAACATTTTGGTCTCATAGAATAACAGTTGTTGGCTTTTAGTGGTAGTAGCTAGATAATTCTCAGATGCAGTTTCATAGCTGATAGTAAGTTTATCTTCGTTTACAGTCCAGTTAACACACCATGTCTTGGATCTGCAGCTCACACCTGAAGCTTCTGGATTCGCTGTTGTTGAGAAACGTCAGCTTAGCGCAATCCTAGTTTAGTGCAATGCTAACAAGCTTAGTGCAATGCTAACGTAGCACTAAGCTAGCAGTTTTGTCCGTTGGCTTGAGTTTCAGTATTCCAACACTTAAGAAATGTTTCGGCATTTCTTCCTGGGTGTTGTTATCCTTACTTCCCGAGGCTCTGTTGCTCACGCTGACTTTAATCTGTTTGAGCGGCAGAATGAGCGAGCTTCTCGTCTATGTCAAGGAACCAGGAAGTCACACCAGGAGGAGACTGTATAACCCCGAAGTGATACATTAACTCATTCGCTGCCAGGCATTTCCTGATCGCTAAAGGCCTTCGCTGCCAGCGTTTCTTACCGTTTTTACTGTTTTTTTAAGGGTCACAGAACATTGAGCGTTAGGATGATGTCGACGCCAAAACAACCAAAACAAAGCGGAGACTCACCTCTTACATCAGGAAGAATCCATGTGTTTCGAGCGTTATCCGCTCTTTCATAATCTGTTGTCGAATTGTGATCGGCAGACGCTTTTCTGGTTCGCGCCTCACTTTTGTTTTACAGGAACAGCCCAAAAAGATCTCCTAACACATGGATTTTCTGCTTCCTGATCATGTGACGTGTGACGTATGTGGATGAAGATCGGCTTCAGAGCTGAGATGTTTGTTCTCTCGGTGCGGGGGCTCGTTCCGATGCCCAAACAGTAAAAAAATGCAAATGACGACTTCAGCCGTCACTGGCAGTGAACGGTTGGATTTAAAATGACGACTTTAGTTGTCATTGGCAGTGAATGAGTTAAATGAAAAGTCAAAAAATTTGTTTTTCTAAAGAGCAAGAGTTTTTACTTGTAGATGGCACAACACTGACAGTTTAAGTGGAATATTTAAATTTTAACTAAGATGCACTAAAGTGACAAATTATTGACTACACGTGTTTACAGCACGATTAGACACTCATTTATATAGTTTATCAGTAAAAAGGTTGATATTGGGTGACTTGCTCTTTAATTAGTCCAATATTCATTTCAGTTTCAGCTCTGCCCCCTTTTATTTTAAACAATGCTTAAAGAAAATGAAATAACCTGAAAATAGTTTATAATAGTGTGGATGTTTTTGTGGATTTTTTTCAATACTTAAAGGATTTGATGTTAAAAATCAATTGATAAATATATTCATGATCATTTATTTAATCCTTTATAAATCACTGGTGCGTCATAACCTTACATATAACCAATGACGACTGACTTTAGAATGTTTGCATAATCTATAAACCATTATCAAATGTAGAAAAGAGTGTTTGTAAATGTTAAGTTAATCATATTTAGTTAATCGTGTTTAGTTAAATATTTAAATGTATTGTATATAAATACCTAATACCTTGTGTAATGTCCAGCAATGGTCAGTTTTCACCTAAAAACTGACCTACATGCCACCAGTCATCGGAAGACATAAATTCCATTCTCTGAGGTGGATTTTGCATTCTACCTTCCAACAATCAACAAGGTTCTGCAAAACTTGTTGACATTTCAGGTCACCAAAAAAATTTCAGGTGCCAAAAAAAAAGCCTTCTTCTGATAACACCGCAGGATTCCTCATGCCTCTGAATAAAGTGACTATTTTCAGGTCACATGAGTTAATCAATCTTGAAATCGGATGAACAAATGTTATATGAAATGATCAATAATGTTTTGATTAATCTGTGCTTAGATTAATAAAGTAGATTAATCTGTGCTTGAATTACTGAAGTTTGAAATGAATATTGTTATGGTATGATCAGTAATTGTAGATTTAACAAGTGAATCATTATCTACACTCAGACACAAGGTTCATTAGAGATAAATTAAGGTTAAGTTAAACGTCATGACACATATATATTTTCTTAGCGACAAATCAGAAATCCTGTATCTGAAAGAGGCGTGACGTTCTGAGGTTTGCTTGTGAACACCCCTTAACATGGCACGTCCCGGTTGGCCAAGAAATCATAATATAAGAATATTAAAACAGAGCTCACTAGACGATGAGTCAGTTCTAGAGAAAGCTACGGACAGGCCATCCGGAGCGAACCCTCTTTAACCCAAAGCTTTCGACGAGCTAAAAGCTGCCTACAGCTGACACAGCAAAACGGTTCCTTCAGCTATTCAGAAACAGCTGTTCTAGACGCAAACGATTTCATCTATCTGTTGTGATCCGGTAGACGACTCTGGACCGACCTGGTCGTACTGCGGTCTTTTCTACAACTTCTGTACCCCCCCCACCCCCGACCCCCACCCCGCCCCCGATCTGGGGTAAAGGACTATCTATGTGTCTCACGTTTGACTTAACTTACTTTGTCCTTGTGTGAGCACAAATGTGATGACCTTGTCAAATCAGCATGCTGAAACATACATCAATGTAATCATAGCATAACATTTATTTTAAACTTCAATCACTCAAGCACAGATTAATGAAAGCATTTGATTATATTATAATTATTATAAGTAGCAATAAACGTTTATTTAATGATTATATAACTTATAAGTTTTATAAGTTCATATTTAATTTAAGAAATCATTCTTTGATTTAGTAACTGATCCGAGCTGCGAATGTTCCTTATTCAGAGGCATGAAGAATCCTGTAGGACATAAGGGAAGCTTGGACCTTGAGAGAACATCATTGTTGGCAATACGTTATCATGTGTTCAGAGCTGCAGAGAGGCTCTGAGATCCAGCTGATGGGATGAAGGCAGGCCGATTTAATGGGAACACGTGCAGTCTCGTGTCTCCATTTTGACCAGATGTTTAAGGGTCAAACTGTACCTAAAAACTGACCATTGCTGGACATTACATGCCACACTAAACACTTATAAATGTTTAATAAAAAATTCTGAGGAAATGAAAAACAAAAAACTTAACAAAAAAAGAGTTAAAAAAGGGTGAACAGTGGATCCCGGGAAGCAGAATTGGTAGAAAGAGCTGAATGAGGAGGCAATTATCATGGCTGCACAGATCTGAATCACAAATTTATGTCATGGTTTAAGGGTGTAAGAAATGCACACGGAATGAAATTCTTGGCTTAGTTTGTTATTTAGTTTGAACAAAATGTTCTCAATTCAGAAAAGTTGGAGCATGAATCAAGTTCTGTTTAATACAGAAAATTCTAAAACATGTACTTCTGTAGCCGACAAACAGCTAAAGCACATTGTTTTACAGTTATTATTCTCATGCCCTGTTGTGTTCTCATAGATTTATATTTTAGAGACTTACTTGTCGTGAAAAGTTCATCAACTCTGAATCAGTTGAGGAACTTCCTTACATTTTAAGCATGTAAGTGTTAGTCTAACGCTATTGGTTTATCTTCATGAAACTAAAGATGTGCTTTAACAAGAACTTCTACAGGGTGGAACAGCAGCATTTTCTCTTTGTTTTCTGGTTCAGAGGAGCTCACTCTCCCCTGTAAACTTCTCCGTGTCTCTAAATAAGATCAGATCCTGCAGCTGCCATCACTAACTCCCCCCAACCCCCCCCCCCCCCCCCCACACCCCCCACCCCCCCACCCCCACCCCATCCCAATGCACTTACAAAAGCGTATTAGATGAGCCCCCTGGCGTATTGGCTATGGTAGTCTAGTGGGTAAAGCTCCTGCCTTTCATCTTGTCTTGTCGTGTCCTGACATGGTTCGACTGTCGGCAGTAATTTATGTAGCCACCTGAAGCAGATTTCATGTTTTTATATTTTAATTAAATTGATTATTTTTTGCAAAATAATCATGTTAGTTAATTTACTCAGCTCACACCTCACAAAGTAATCATTTTAGTTAATTTACTCAACTCACCTCACATGAAATCATACTGGCTAAAAAAACAAAAAAGCACAAAAACAGATTTGTCCTTGTATATATATATATATATATATATATATATATATATATATATATATATATATATAATATATATATATATGATTTTTTTTGGGGGGGGGGGTAATTTTTTATTTATGTTTTATTTTAAACATTTACCAATAAAGGATTGAAAACATGATAGCGTAGCTAAAAAAAAATGAAGAAAAAAGTTACTGCGGCGATCGGGTACAACACCAACCCAAAACATGCCAGCCCAGCACTCTAACCAATGGACTACCAATTCTGTTACAAAACAATTGTTGCATAATACACATGTACTGAGTTATGTGCATCTTTGTAGACAGGACACGCAGCGTTTTGTCCTCCATGCAGAAGTGGTTTGTCGGAATATGCACAGAAAACGCAGGTTTTACAATGGAGACACAGCTTCAGGTCAAAGAGCTGATGTCTTAACTTTGTAAAAGGTTGAAAACTGATCTGGTTGCTCAATGCACAATTTGATCCAACACACACACGCAAACACATGCACACGCGTGCGCGCACACACACACACACACACACACTTCTGTAGGATCATCATCAGATTATGTTTCAGCGACTTTGCAACACCAGCTCTGCTTAAACAGCACAAACACACAAAATCCAACTTTCAAATGAACTTACACACACACACACGCGCGCGCGCGCACACAGCTAAATAAATAAACAATATGCACGCACACAGCTAAATAAATAAACAATATGCCAACATTCACAAAATTTGCCAACAATCACAACAGCATAACCAGCCACATGACTATACCCACCGCAAATTCTGGAAAACTCAACTCAACTTAACTCAACTTTATTTATAAATCACGCCTCACAGGCAAAAAGATGCCACCAAGGCGCTACACTGATCAAATAAAAACATAAAACATTAAGTTCAGAAAATAAAACATTGTATCACACGATACAGATAAAAATACAATGAGTAAAATCGCTATAAGTACAACAATAAAACTAGTTAGAAAGGTTAAAAGACAGGTCATAAAAATATGTTTTTAGCCTTGCCTTAAAAACCGCAACAGAGGTGGAGGCCCTTATGCTCAGAGGAAGCTTATTCCAAAGCTTAGGACCTGCCACAGCAAAGGCCCTATCACCACGCGTCTTTAGACGTGTTCTTGGGACCGAGAGGAGCATGAGGTTCTCCGAGCGGAGTGACCGTGAAGGGGTGTATGGTTGAAGTAGTGACACCAAGTAAGGAGGGGCCAAACCATTTAATGTTTTAAAAACTAGTAAAAGTATTTTAAAATGAATCCTAACATCAATGGGCAGCCAGTGAAGCGCAGCCAGGACAGGAGTAATGTGGTCAAACTTGCGCCTGCCTTCTAAAAATCTGGCAGCAGCATTCTGGACCATTTGCAACCTGGCTATTGAGCCCTTGCTCACACCGAATAGAACAGAGTTGCAGTAGTCCAATCGCACCGTAATAACAGCATGGACTACCGTCTCAAGATCATGACGTGTCAAAAACAGTTTGATCTTTGCCAGCCGACGAAGGTGGAAAAAGGAGGAGGAGATCACTCCATTGATGTGGGTATCAAAACTAAGGGCGCTATCCAGTTGAACACCAAGATTAGTCACCGATGTAGTCAGCTGGCAATTAAATGACCCACAGTCAGGGAAGAGTCACAGTGTATGCTTGGAGCAAACAATATAGCCTCTGTTTTCTGATCATTTAGGCTCAGAAATTTCCCAGTCATCCAGGTCTTGATCTCCCTCAAACAGTTTGTAAGAGTAGAAATAGAGAGAACACTTGACGTGTTCAGAGGCAGGTACAGCTGACAATCGTCAGCATATAGGTGGAATTGAACTCCAAGCTCACGACAGATGTCACCTAAGGGCAGAATGTAAATAGAAAACAACAAAGGTCCCAATATCGAGCCCTGTGGTACCCCCCAAGGTAGATCAGAGTACTCTGAGGAATAACTTCCCATCCTAACACACATTTTTCTATTTGTCAGGTATGATCTAAACCATTCCAGGGCTAACCCTGAAATCCCGACATTATGATGAAGACGGTGAAGCAGCACTTCATGATCTATCGTGTCAAAGGCTGCCGTGAGGTCCAGCAGAAGTAACAACACAGAATTACCGCTATCAGTCGCTAGATAGATGTCACTGAGCATTCTAACCAGAGCAGTCTCCGTGCTGTGTAGAGCTCTGAAGCCAGACTGGAAAGTCTCAAAAATGGTATTCTCGTCAATAAAAACCAAGAGCTGGTGGTAAACACATTTCTCTAGCACCTTACTCAAGAAAGGAAGTTTCGAAATGGGCCTGTAGTTTGCAGCCAGCGAAGCATCCAGTCCAGGCTTTTTGAGCAAAGGTTGAATAACCACTTTTTTGAAATTGTCAGGGACTATACCAGAACTGAGGCTCATGTTAATTATGTTCAAAATTAAAGGGGCGACTGCTGGAAAGACTTCTTTAAGGAGGCGCGTTGGCATTACTTCATCCGGCGAGCCACTTGGCTTAGCCTTCCCAGCGATCTTGATCAGATCATCTAGGCCAATCTGTTGAAATGAGGGATGCTCCGATCCGATCACGTGATCGAAAATCGGGCCCGATCACGTGACTTTTAAAAGATCGGAATCGGGTGTTAAAGATCGGATTTAGCCTTATAAAACAACAAGCATGACATTTTTAATCAATCTTGAGTTTCAAATAGAATAACAATGGCTTAATTTTGTACCAAGTTTCACTTCCTCAATAACAACATGACAACACCATACGGCAGCCATAACGTCACACGTTTTAAAGTGGACCGCGGAATTCAGTTAGCAGTTAGCTAGCAGGCTAATGCCCGTCTCGCTCCAGGAGAGCAAAAAATGTCAGCGGTTTGGAGTCATTTTAAACTGGAGACCGAAGGCTGTCCAACAGCCACTTGCAACGTGTGCAAACTGAGTGTTTCACGTGGCGGAAAAGACAGAGCTGCTTTTAACACCACGAACCTGATCCGGCATCTTAAGAACAAACATCCAGCTCAATATTCCGAGTTCACCGCGGCAACGCAGATCAAAACATGGAGCCAGCCGACACTGGAAGCTATGCTGAAAAACAAAGAAAAACTTCCTAAGGATAGCGACAAGGCCAAGAACATCACAGCCAAGATAGCTGAATTTATTGCACTAGATGACCAGCCGCTGTCTGTGGTTTCAAACGTAGGATTTCGCCGTCTCATGGAGCACCTGGAGCCACGGTACGAGTTACCTTCTCGAAGCTACTTTACAGACACAGCTCTGCCCAGCATTCACAACAAGCTACGTGACCACCTGTTAGTCATGTTATCAAAGGTGTCTGCTTTTGGGTTTACCACAGACATATGGAGTTCGTCTGTTTGTCCAATGTCACTGATCAGCTTCACTGCACAATGGATCGACTCGAGTTTTAATTTACAACGTGCTACGTTAAATGCGCAACATTTTCGCGGATCTCACACAGCAGAGCATGTGAAACAGGCTATCGGAGATATGCTGAACAGTTGGGGAATTGAAAAGGAACGTGTCCATGTAATTGTGCGTGACAATGCGCGAAATATGAAGAGAGCCATGGAGGACTTGGCTGTACCGAGCTTGGGCTGTGTTGCACACACGCTTCAACTAGTTGTGCACGAGGGTCTGCTCTCTCAGCGCAGCGTCACAGACACAATGGCTAATGCCAGGAAGATAATAGGCCATTTCAAACATTCTCCTTTGGCCTATTCACGCCTGGAAGATATCCAGATTTCTCTGAAGATGACCGTGAAGCGCCTGCAGCAGGATGTGCATGTTAGATGGAACAGCAGCCTCTATATGCTACAGAGCATTCTGGAGCAAAAGCGAGCGCTCAGCATCTATACAGCTGACCACAACCTCCCTGCTACACTAACAGCTAGTCAGTGGACCCTGATGGAGAATACAGCTGAAGTGTTAGTTCCCTTGGAAGAACTGACTAGGGAAGTGAGCAAGGAAACTGCAACTGCAGCAGATGTGATCCCTGCCATTTCAGGTTGGTTTTGTTTTATTTTCTACATTTTAATTAAAGAACACACAATGCTTTTTTAATATTCTAAATAAGTAATAAACTGTTATCCATCTATTCTTTCTCTAAACAGCTCTCAGACGTGTCCTGTCTCGAGAGCAAACGACTGACCAGGGTGTTCGAACCATGAAAAGAACTCTCCTAGAGGCCGTGGAGACTCGCTTTGCTGAGGTAGAAAAGGAACCACTCTACAGCATCGCCACTTTAGTGGATCCAAGATACAAAGACAGGCAAGTAGAATTAATGTACATTTTTAATTTGATTATAAGAAAATAAATTTTCAAAATTGTAAGTCAGCCAATGTCTAATTATGTTTTTAAAATTTAGATTTAGCTCTGTTAATGATTAGAGAATTATTTACTATTACATTAATATAACATTTCCTCAGCTGAACTGTTGTGTTATACAGTGCCTTGCCTAACATTTTTTTTTAATTGTTACATTTATCTCGTAGATATTTCACAAAGTCAGACCACTTGAGGTTTGCTAAATATTCCCTCATCCAGGAGGTGATGAAGATGGAGGAGAACAGGGTTGCCAGTGAAGAACCAGAGGCAGCAGAGCCTGTGAGCAAGGCACCTCGTCAAGGAGCAGGAAGCAGCCTTGGCAGCATCTTAGATGAGATCTTAGAAGAGCGTCAGCCAGAGGCCCAATCTGTGAGTACCACATCAGCAGATGTCCAGGTACGGATCTACCTTTCGGAACAAACCATCCCTAGGAAAAGCAATCCTCTAGACTACTGGAAAACACATGCTACACAGTTCCCTTCACTGGCTGCTGTTGCAACCAAATTTCTTTGTGCCCCCTGCACCTCAGTGGACAGTGAGAGACTCTTTAGTGCAGTGTCAAACATTCTTGATGAGAATAGGAATCGGCTCTCCCCCGACAAGTTAGAGATGCTGATTTTCCTCAAAAAAAACATGCACTTTATTTGGGAGCCTTAGAGTAAAAGTTGAGCTCCATGTAGAGCACATGGAAGAGGTGATTTACCAGTTCTTTGCAATTTGACGTTGATGTTTTATTCTTGAATGGTGTTAAGTTCGTGCACCACTTTGATTAGGCATATCTTTTGTTCGTTTTAATAAACAAGTCAGTCTAAAGGCCTAAGATGTATTTTATTTTGTTACCTGACTGAATTATGCAACTACCTCTTAGAGGTGGAGGTAAGCACTTTAATTTAACTTCTATTATTGTGTTGAGTTATTTTACAAACCTTTTCTACTTTTCTATAAAAACAAATTTGTTTACATATTGTTGCACCACTGATAAGCTACAAAGATATAATGTTGTTTACTTGGTTTGAAGTGCTGCTGCACTAACAAAATGTTTCTACTTATGGTATCATGTTGGATGCCGTCATAAAAATAATAATAAAAAAAACCTAACAGGTTAATTTGGGTGCAGTCTCCCTTTTTTCTTGCTATTTTATTGTATTGCTGAAGTATCGGATCGGGACTCGGTATCGGCAGATACTCAAAATCAAATGACTCGGAATCGGATCGGGAGCAAAAAAATGTGATCGGAACATCCCTAGTTGAAATAATACCAAACCTCTGGTGAAAGTAACAGAACGGCCACACACCGGTGCCCTAGACATGGTAGCCCGTAGCGCAGAAACTTTCCCAATGAAAAAGTCATGGAACTCATCACAAAGTTTAGCTGAAGCCTGCACCACATGATGATCATTTAGCTTCAGAACTGAGTCAATTGCTGTATATAGTACTCTGGGGTTGTTTGAGTTTAAAGAAATGAGATTGGAATAATATGCAAATTTCGCAGATCTAACTGCCTCTTAGTATGATTTCCAACTGTCACGTAGAGCAATTAGGGAAACGTGCAGATTATCCTTCTTCCACTGTCTCTCGTATCTTCTACATGTCCTTCTTGCGGCACGAGTAGCGTCCGTTGACCATAAATTTACCGAACGCTTTCCCCTCCTGGGCCTTAACGGCGCAACAGTGTTAAGGATAGCCTCACAGGTCTCATTAAAGCAAGTAAGCAATCCATCCAGTGAGGACTCGTCTGATAAATCAAAGAAGGCTTGTTCAAACAGTGAGGTGAATTGAGTTGCAGTGTCAGAGTTCACATGACGACTATACCTACTGGGGGCAACAGGTGCCAGCAAATTACTATGCAGAGTAGTCTCAAATAATATGGGATTATGGTCTGAGAAAAATGCATCCTTAATAGTCAGATTATCTACTGAACACCCCAGTGATAACACAAGATCCAGTGTGTGGCCCCATTAACCCACTGCGTAAAAGTCAAAGAGTTCACAAGGTTGATGAAATCAGAGACTAAAGGTTTTCCAGGACAGCAGATATGAATATTAAAGTCTCCCAGTAGCAAAACCTGCTTGTATCTAGCAGCCCAGTTTGCTAGGACTTCTGAAAACTCCGGTAAAAAAAATCCTTATTGTATTTCGGGGGTCTATACACTACAGCACAGAGGATTGGTTGCGGATGACCAAGTTCGAATAAGCACAGTTCAAAACTGGTATTAGGAGACCAGGACTGCAAACGTTTCATCTTCAAATGTGCTTTATAGATAACCACCAATCCACCCCCACGTTTAATGGTCCTCGGCACATTAATAAAAGCACATTAATAAAAGCACAGTCTGCTGGGATCAGTTCATTAATCCAACACACACACGCAAAAAGTAGAATGTCTAAGGACGGTCCCGCCTTTCTCGCCTCTGATTGGCTGCAAGGGCTCTCCAGTGTTTCCCTTACATAGGCGTAGCCGTGGCGGCCTGCCATGGCTGAAATCTCAGTGCCACGCCTACGAGATCCCAAGCTTTAATGATTTTTTTTGTCTGCACCGTTTCCCAAAGAAGCAGCGGGAACTACTCTGTTGTTGCTTGTGATCACAGCCAGCAGGCAGCAAGGAGGAGGAGGAGGAGGAGGAGGCAGGGCAGGGTGGTTACAACTAGGGATGAGCCGGATACTCATTTCAGACTAGCATGCGGTACGGATAAAGCATTTTTCACAAATACGAGCATGAAACGAGTAAAACTCGTAAATATCTGTAATCGTGCTCAAGGAAAATCTTCATTGGGTAACAGACTGTCTTCACGCTCTGTGATTGGCCAGTCACATAGAGCACCCGCCCCTCTCTACACATAAAACTGCAAGCAGCTGGGAGCTCAGTCCGTCCGGCCCATCCACACACGCACACACACAGAGTAACGGATCTCTCTGTGATTGCTTCACTGTTGCTCACATTTCTTCAGTGCTCCCTAGGTTTTCTTCAGCTCGCCTCTTTTCGCTTGAATATTTAAAGTTACTTTTTTCGTAACGTACGTGGTGCATTTGACAAGACAGAGCTGAAAACGGCTCGTGCATGTGTCGGTCACTGCCTCCACTCCGGTCTGGTTTTTTTATTTTTATTTTTTTATTTTAACTCTCTCTCCCTCTCTCTCTCTCACACACACACCTCAATCAACATTGTTTTGTTTAACTGTGTGTGGAAAAAAGCCAAAACGTTAGGAAAAAATCAGTTTAATCAAATTAAAATAAAATGGTATTTCATATGTCCTAGTTCATACTGCATGAGTTCAGATGTATTAATTCATGCACTTAAATATTAATGTTCTGATTTGATTGAAAAACTTGTTCTGTAATAGTTCCTTTACTATTGTGATCAAAAATATTTAATCTCAATTCTGAGGTTGCTCTGTAAATAGTTTTCAAATAAACTATACATATACATACACATACACATATCAACTTCTGATCAATCTATATCAATTTCAGATTTAAAATAATGTATTGATGTAAACCACACCCACTAATTTCCAAATAATAAATAAGAGGTGCATTCATCTGTGTATCTCCTTAGATCTGCATTAGTGATATTTTCAGCACCAGAACAATGAAGCAAAGAAACAGATTCCTGAGTTTATGGTAGTAATTTTATTTATTAGGTGCATCTGGCCTGTTCTATTTTTCTCTGAAATCAGATCAAATCAGTGCTTCTATGGGTTGTCTCCTCTCTGCACTAGAAAATTTACTTTATTATAATGTTCACTGTAATGCATCTTGATGTTCTTAACAAATAAATTAAATCAAAGATATTGGCCAATAATGCCAAATATGTAAATTTGTGTTTCAGTCATTTTTATACTGGCTTAAAAATACTTCATTAAGTCTACTAAGCAGGGGTGTAGAACGTGTTTAATAGGGCCAGCCCAGTAATGATCTTGGACCAAAATAAAGGGGGGCAAAAGTCCCCCCTGCAAAGTATGTCACTGAGAGTTTAAAACAAAAATTATTCTTGTGCAAATATTGGTGTATTCACCTTTAATACTAGTTATTAAAATGCAGCAGTTGCTGGATTGGTGCAGTTCAGAGTGGAGTGCATCAAATAAAACAATATTAACATAAAGGTGAGACATGTGTGTAATAATTCCTTTAAAGGCGGAAGATGGCAGCAGCAAAACAGTCATGAAGTGGTTATTTAGAGTAACTCCAGTTAGGAGCTCAGGTAACATGCTAAGTGTGCAGAGTCACGTTTGGCTCAGTTTAACCAGATTACTGAGGCAGCAGTTTCTCGTGTAGCTGAGAAATGTTGGTGAACCTGCAGCTTCACGATGCTCCAGGAGCTCTAGGTCTGTTTCGTTAGTGCGTTGCTCTCTAGGACCCTCATTGGTTCATCTCTGTGAGAGAAAAGCGGAGGAGTGTCCCCTCATGAGGAACAGAATCAGTGTGTCAGTCTTTCCTTCACTTCACAAAACCAACTAAAATCAAACATGTGAACATTGGCAGCCCCACCCACAGCCAACGAGCAGAGAGAGAAAACTAGCATCCGATCTGCTCCTGCTGTGTTCCTTAAGTAACAAACACGGAGGAGAAATGACATTAGGAACAGCGAGTACGGATAAGCAGCGCTCCGATTATCCCTTTGGACAGCCTCACCGGTCCTTCAAGCCAAGTTCCCAGCCTGTATAAAGCATGCATCAAGTCCATACTGCCTGTATAAAGTCTACTAAGCAGTTAGTCATGAGCTAACGAGGCCAAGCTGTGTGTCTGTGTCTGTGTGTGTGTGTCTGTGTGTGTAAACGCATAAGCAGAGCGGTGGCCTGTACAGAATGTACGTGTGCGTCAGTTGTTCTACAACACGCCATTAGTCTTACAAAAGCAGGTCTGAGTACATTGGTGACAAAACATATCTGTCTGTCCGCGTGTGTGTGTGTGTGTGTGTGTGTGTGTGTGTGTGTGTGTGTGTGTGTGTGTGTGTGTGTGTGTGTGTGTGTCTGTGTGTCTGTGTGTGTGTGTGTGTGTGTGTGTGTGTGTGTGTGTGTGTGTGTGTGTGTGTGTGTGTGTGTGTGTGTGTGTGTGTGTGTGTGTGTGTGTGTGTGTGTGGACTGACTTCCCTGGGCTCATGCTTCATTTAAACTAAAAACAGAAATGCTCCAGAGGAGCTGGATGGACGCGTTCCTCAAACACCCGACAGAGCGACCCCCATCAAGGGAAACATCAGAAACTGCAGCAAGGTTTCAATCAGAGGTAAAACGATTAACCAGTGAATTATTTCAGAACAAATGAGACCCAGATGGAATCAAACAATAATATCAAGGCTTTCAGTTTGGATGAAAGGTAAGGTTTAAAGAGAGGGAAAGGGATGAGAGGCTGATGGATCCTTACGTTGGATCACATTTCACCTCATCGTTAACATTTTAGCTTCCAGACCAAGAACAGAGATTTAAAATCTTTGTTTACCTTTTTTTTCTTTGTCCGGTGCAACAAATAAATTAGTGTAGAAATAAAATGAATGGATTGTACCTCTGTGGATGTGCCATGAGCTCCCCAGTATCGTCGCTAACATTTACATGAAGGAAATGGAAACCAGAGCATTGAACTCCTACACTGGAACAACACCAAGCCACTGATTCAGGTATGTGGACGACACATGGGTCAAAATTCTCATGAAGGAAGTAGAAGGCTTCACCAGGCACATTAATGTGGTGGACACGAACATCAAGTTCACCAGGGAGGATGCCCAAAACAACAACTGCACTTCTTGGACTGTGCCATGCAAATTGGACAAGATGGAAGTCTCAGCATTGAAGTCTACAGGAAACCCACCCATTGGAGCACAAAATGTCAGTCATCAGGCCTTTACACCATCAGGCTGAGAACATTCCCACAAAGGCTGAAGGAAAGCAAAAGAAAGAAAAACACATTAAAAAAAGCTCTCCAAAACTGCAGATACCCTAACTGGGTCTTCCTCCTGAAAAATCTATTTTTATTAAATCACAGATTCGTTAATTGATCACGATTGACAAGATTTTTTCAACAATAAGAACAGAGCAGGGGGCTCCTACTTGTTCACATGGAACGCACCCAGTGGGGTTTATGTTGGATTCCTGTAAGGAAAGGAATATTATATGCCTTCCCCAGCCGTCCGTGGAGGACATAGAAGATGTGTGGATTTTCAGGTTGATAATTACTGGATTTCTTCTGTCTGGAGAAGGAGGATTTCTGACAGACTGAATGATCAGTTAAAAACTGAAAAACAGAGAGGAAATTATCTCTGCCTGACCCAAGCAATTCTTTTCTGAATCTGGTGCCGCGGTAGCCTTGAGCTGTGAGAAGAAAAAACCTCCACGAAGGAATGCAGACAGATGCTGTGAAAACCCGACCTACCTCCTGCCTTCGGATTGGTGGTCTTAAGCCTAATTTATACTTCTCCGTCAGCTTCACAAGGGAGAGACACGCACCCACCGACGGAGAAAGTTTGCTCTCTATCTACTGGGGAGTGTTGCAAAGTGATTCCCCGCCAGGATAATAGAGAGTGTAGCACTGTTTTGTGGTCATGTATCCGGTCCAAGATAGTTTGCTTATATTGTGTTTTTCTGTATTTAAGACTTTGTAACATGGACAGATTAGTCCCTCATTCTCATCCACCTCTCCATGTGCTCGCCACTTCTAAACCCGCGCATCCCGATATTTTCACCCCCGCAAAAAATAAAAATAAAAACGTGTGCTGCGCATCTTTTCACTCCTCCAGTCACGGGTGAATAAAACGTTCATATTTTTAGAGTTTTTCCATCTTCCAGCTTCTCCGTGTCTGCTCAAGCGTATATTTAAATTTTTAGCTTCATCCATCTATAGGGGGCGCCATTAACTGTGTCTTAACACAATTCTGTCTCTGAGCTCTTCAGGCAGTTCCTTTGATCTCATGATTCTCATCTGCTCTGACATGCATTGTGAGCTGTAAGGTCTTGCATAGACAGGTGTGTGGCTTTCCTAATCAAGTCCACAGCTGGACTCCAGTGAAGGTGTAGGGCCATGTCAAGAATTATCAGAAGAAATAGAAAGGACCTGATTTAAATAAATGAGTCGCTGCAATGGGTCTGAATACTTATGACCATGTGATATTTCAGTTTGTCTTTTTTAATTAATCTGCAGAAATTTCTAAAACTCTTTTTGTGTCAATATGGGGTGCTGTGTGTACATTAATGAGGAAAAAAAATTTAATTAATTTCAGCAAATGGCTGCAATAGAACAAAGAGTGAAAAGTTAAATACTTTCTGTGCCCACTGTATAAACATGGCCATAAGTAAATAGTTTGGTAATTTGTTAATCAAATATGGAATTTTTTATTATTGTATTTCTTTGGGTCATTATAATTTGAAATCGAAATGAATTATTTTATTGAAAAATCTGTTAATTTAGAAAGAAGAGAATGTCAAAACTTGATTCTAAATGAACTCATGATAGACTAGATGGTTGTTCCTACTAACCAGTCAACCATAGAGGAAAGATTAACCAGAACTCCAGCCTCTTTCATAAAACTATGGCGTTACTCTGCTGCAAGGGAGCCGTTGGTCCTTTATAAGGTCAGTATGTGGCACGATCATGTGTTTTCACTAAGATTATGCAATGGTGGAATAAAGTGTGTAAGGGGTCCATCTCTGTGCTTGAACATAATTTGTTTTATTGCAGATTGATGCAACGCTCCTTAAGTTTTATTCACGAGCCGCCCTAAAAGGTATTGTTTGTTCTTCACAGTCCCACGTGAAATGCAGGTAATCTAAAGACCAGAAGCTCTGCATTCCTCCTGTTTGCAGACTCTCAGCTGATTCTGTTCACAAAAGTGAAACTGATGTGTCTACTTTCACTTTAATTTTTCTTGTTTATCTGTAGATTTCATGAAAATCTATGCAGTAAAAGGTATCTGGTTATTTGAAATAATGTGTTCTGAATTAATTTTAAGTATCAAAAAGCTATAACATGAAAAAAAACGTTATTGTGAAAAAATGCACCAAAAATAGTGGTAATCATGATAATCATTTAATCGAATTGATGGACCCTGAATCGAAATCGAATGAAATCATGAGCTAACTAAGATTGTAAACCCCTATGATTGACTAAGAATATTCAGGGAATTCCATTTTTGGTTCATTTTTAAACACAGATAAGGTTTTTCTTATCTGTGTTTAAAAATGAACCAAAAATGGAATTTTAAGACAAACACAGCAAGAACGAACAAAAGATATTCATGGAATTGATTGATTAATTATGAATTTTCTATGATTTTAGGAAAAATAATGTAGAAATATTTGAATTAATAGTAACATTTTTGGTATTAAAAAATTCCCATCTAGGGTTGTTGAAATTAAGAGATCTTATTCCAGAAGTAGAAATCACTATCTGACATTTGTTTTGGTATTTTATCAAGAAGTCACAGTTATTTTATCTATTTATAATTTTTTTAATAAATTTATTAATTAATGAAAGTAAGTTTATTTTAGGTGGGTATGCAAGTTTTCAACTAAAGAACGCTTGGATGGAATAATCTCAAACGCTGTAACAGAACCAAAATTCTAGTCTATCAGAAAAATCCCACCATTTCTTAGACTGAAAGATTAATAACCCCAACATCTAGGGGGCGCTATTGCTAAAGAAAAAACATTGATAATCATCACTTCATAGACCTAATCCACTCAAATCTAACCAGTTCTTTCATTGTTAAATTTGCATCACTTATTGAATTTGAATGACTTGATCAAGGCCACAGCTATCTCGCAATAAACACAAAATCTAGTTTTAGTGACAACTCCATTCTTCGCCAAATCAACTTGAGACTTTGTACATGTAATCTGTGGACAACAATGACTAAATGTGATAAAGAACATACAAAAACATTTAAAGTTGTGCGAATGACACAATGACTAATTACTTGTTCTAGCTAGCACATGACTTCTTTGACCTA